GGTGAGCCCTGGTATCACAGTGGTTAAGTGCTCGGCTACTAACTAGTCTGAACTCACCAGCTGCCCCACAGGAGAAAGATGGGGCAGTCTGCTTCCATAAGGATTTATAGCCTTGGAAACCCTATGGGGCACTTCTACCATGTCCTTCCTGTAGGGTCGCTATGAGTTGGAATCGACTCAAGAGCAATGGGTTTGGTTTTTTGGTTTAAGGCACTCAAAGATGTGGGATTAGAGTATTAGAAAGAAAGCAAAGGCCATACATAACAATTTACAGTTAACAGCATAGGGTAAAAGTCAATACTAGGAAAAAAAAGCACATAAAGAACAGGTCATGGAGCTTTTTGGATCATTAGCAATTAATTAAAGGGCAGGAATATAAGAAAGCAGAAAAGGAGATGAAAACAGAAGATGAATCAGAAAAACCCAGAACATCTAAAGCCAGATGAGATCATTTCAGAAAGCTTACTTATGATGAGGGAGAACCGGCAATGAGAAGTCACTGGAGGTAGTACAGCAAAAGGCTGGTGGTAAGGAGGGTTCAGAAGTACACATTGTCTTTCAAGAAGTTTGGCAATGAAGGAAGGAAAACAGTAAGGTGGTAGACAAATAACTGGATCATCAAGTTAAGATTTTCACAAGATGTTTAAAAGGCAGAGGGGAAGGACCCAGCAAAAACATGGCCCAGAAACCAGAAGAAAAACCAAACAGAGACCAACATAAATTCTCTCAGACTGGGAAAGAAATCTTCGAAATTACATATGAGGCTGTTTTACGTTCGTAAAACGATAGTCATCTTACCCTGAGCAATAAAGTTCCTCTCAAACTTTTGCAGAAATTCCAAGTAAAGAAGATCATCTGAGGTAAGGGCTTCTTCTCCAACTACGGCTTTCATGGCTTGGACATCCTTGCCAATAGCATAGCAGGCATACTGCAGAAAGAGAAAGTTTATATAAACACAGGTAAGACTTTATAAATGTTAACAGTAGTCCAGGATATGGAAGTGTATTGCTGTAGCTATTACTGTAAGAGACCACAGAAGAAATTTCACTGTGTTATTTATAAACATAATCCATATAAAGTTCATATACAAGTATAGAACGAATTTATTATAGTGTCAGACAGAAGGGAGCCTTGAGGCATGTAATGCACAGACATTACCAATACTCTTCGAAAAAACGTATTTCCTCAATATGTCAGTATGTCAAAATGAGTTTATGTTTTACAGAGCTTTTTGAAATAAGAACCCATGCTTAAACCACTGGGAAGTCCACTGTGAGGCTCCTTTCAATAAAAATATTTGTGATATCAGTAGGTTTACCATTTCTACCTTATGGTCAAAAGTATTTTTCTTTATTTGTGGTTGGTGTACAACCTAACATGACTGTATAAAGAGGATTTCATAGAGCACAGAAAACTGTATACTTTATGATCCGGTGACTGCTTAATATGTTAAGCAAGAAATATGTTAAAGTATCCTTTTTATGACTACTTTATAATGATTATTAAAAATTACTAATAAAAAGGTAAAACAGCTTTATTGTTTTTTTTTAATTTAGAACTACTTTATGTAGTATTGGATGTGGGTTTCAAGAATATATTTTTATATTTTAATTATCAGTATTTATCCTTATGAGAAAAAGACTAATTGGGTTCTAATGAATTATATTCTACATCAAGCCGACATTAAAATTCTACTAATGCAGGAGATATACACACACACACTTTGTTTTGGATGGAAGAGAGGAAAAGTGATAAGGGAGAAAGACGAGGTGTAAGACAGCAGAAAGATCTGACTGAGAAAGGTATTTATTTCTTTCAAATACCATTCTTAGGAGGACATACGTACCAGCTGGTTGGATACGTCAGCATGATCCTTTCTGGTCATACCTTCTCCAATAGCAGACTTCATTAACCGTGATAATGAGGGTAGCACATTAATAGGCGGGTAAATCTTGGGTAGAGTGGGAGAAAAAAATTCTTTTCAGTGTCAAATCCTAAAAGTGAGATCTACAAAACAGTATAAGACTATACTGAAAGCCTACACATTTTCCACATCTGTCTTACACTACCATAGTCTCATATCTAAATGGTATTCTGAACTCTGATTCATAAAATCATACATAAAACTAAAAGCCTAAATGGGAGATCATACCATTATGAAATAAAATCCCCCCAAAAGTTCTTTGAGATAACTGACTCCATTTTAAGACACAATAAAGAAAAGTGAAAATTTAATTCTTAATTCTGGTACTTACACCATAACTTTAGTACACAGAAACAACAATTCTGTAATTATACTATAACAGTTCAAGTTGATCTTTTCTAAACAAAATAACTCCTAACAGCAAAAGCCAAAGTCACAAAAAAATAACACTGAAGAGGAGATTTATAAGTTTCACAGCATTATTCAAAAATTAAATACCTGTCTGTTGTGCAGCTGTCTGTCCACATAGATTTGTCCCTCTGTAATATATCCAGTCAAGTCAGGGATGGGGTGAGTGATATCTACCAGAGGAAGACACTTTACATTAAACATGGTATTTTAGTTAAAGTGGTCATTTGATATAACCGAACCCGGAAGAAGTTAATCTGTATTATGTTTAGCATTACCTGGAACAGTGCTACACAAAAGTCTTCTTTGCGGTGTTATCTATGCTGGCCAATTTGGTAGCCACTAGCAACATGTGGCTATTGACTACTTGAAATGTGGCTAATGCACCCGAAAACCTGGATTTCAAATTTTATTTAATTTTAACTAATCTAAATTAAAATAGCTACATGTGGCTAGCGGCTACCACATTAGACAGTTTGTTTGGGTACAGCCCACGTTAGACGTATGTGTTGGCGCTGTGAAGTAAATTAGCTACCCTCACAAAAAGTACTATTTCTTCTAGCTATGTGATCTTCCCCCCAAATATAAATAAAATGTCATTGCTAAACACAAAGTTCCCTTGCAGAAATTTGCCAACTTGATATATATACTGAGAACATTACTGAGAGAATATTCTTGGTTCACACGGAAAATATACTAGACAAGTAAAGTAACAGTACTCAGGCAGGAAAGAGAGCTCACAAAGAAATACATTTCTAAATCTGTTCAATGACATAGGGAAGTGACTATTTCCTAAGAAAAAATCATTTTCATGTCAGGAGGCAGTATAACATGATAGTTAGTGTGAATTATGAATTCAGACTGTATTACTTCTTAACCCTGACAAATTATTTCACCTGCCTGTGCCTCAGAGTACAGCACTGACCTCAAAGTTGCCATGAGGATCAAATGAGTTAATATTTATAAAGCACTCAGCACAGTGCTCAACAGAGTGAGTTAGTACTGTTTCTGAAAATACAAAAGTAATGTTTAAAAACTGAGATAAGGACAAAAAGACGGTAACCTAAGAGGAATGCTGAACGGTCCTCACCCTAGAAGCCACCCTGGCACGTGCTCAGCGGCACTGCACTGTGAGCTTTCACACACAGAGGACAAGAAAGGAGATTTTAACTGGTCTTTGGGGATCATCCTGTTCTCTAAAGTCTGTGGCGTTTACTTTCTGTGCCTTCATTTGGCACTTAACATAAGCTACCTTAAAGTACTGAGGCGCATGCATAAAACATATCCCCAACTAGATTTAGTAACTTACATTACGTAGAGACCACAAATTGTTTTTTTTCAATTCTTTAGATATAAGAATATATAAATTTTAGTAAAATGAAATTTAGCGAGTACCTTCCATTTAATAAACGAAATAAATGAAAATTAAAAATTCAAATTACAAATAAAATTGTTTTTTTGCTAAATTATTCAGGCATAAATAACTACCTAAGGTGAACTCTTGGAGGATAAGCTCTCAAAAGAATTTCAACTCAAAAAGTTATATGGTCAAAGAAAAAAAAGTTGTATGTCTTCTCTCAGTCCTTACAATGATTAAAAACTCTTTGCTGTCGAGTTCATTCTGACATGTAGTGACCCTATACGACAGAGTAGAACGGCCCCATAGGGTTTAAGGCTGTAATCTTTACAGAATCAAACTGTCACATCTTTCTCCTGCGGAGCAGCTGGTGGGTTCGAACCGCCAACCTTTCAGTTAGCAGCTGAACGCTTAAATGCTGCACCACCAGGGGTCCTTTTATAATGATTAGATCTACTGTATTCCAAAGACTAAGAACTTACCATCGTTAGGCATAGTGAGAATTGGGATCTGAGTAATAGAGCCATTTCTACCTTCCACTCGGCCAGCACGTTCATATATTGTGGCTAAATCTGTATACATGTAACCTGGGAAACCTCGTCGACCAGGAACTTCTTCTCTGGCTGCTGAAACCTGACAGTAAATCAAGGAAAAGAATATCACATGCCAGAATATGAGAAGTAAAGCTCGGTTAGAATATGTCTGTTTGAACATGCTTTAGAAAACTCTTCTAGAAACTCAAGTTCAAATTATTCTGCAACAAAAATGTTGACAAAGGGGGATCAAAAGTTTTTTGCAAAAGCCATATTGCCAGAATGTAAATCTTTAAACAGCTTTGCCAGAAGAAAATCTACTTGCAATTTTATAAATCAAAGACAGTTTTAAAACTGAGAGAACACTTTTAGTTCACGAGGTATGGTTCATGCCATGGATCTAGCCGTATTTGTGACAGAAGGGAAGGAAATGTATGCCAGGATTCATATGCTGCATTTACATACATTATTTAACTCTCACAATAACACTATGAAGGGAGATAGTGTTATCCCCAATTTACAGTTGGAATCAAGAGTCAGATAAGTTAAATAACTTCCCAAGACCACAAAGCTAGCAGTCCACTCCATCACACAAAATAAGAATAGTAATAGATGGTCTTTCACTTAAGAGGTATGCGTAGTAGAATATAGGCATACATATTAACTAATCTACAACCACCAAGATCCCTAAAGCATCATTAGGTGCAATTTTTAGATACTTTGGAACCTTCAAAAGAGTGAACTACAGTAGTTCTACTCGGAGTGTGGTCTGTAGCCCAACTGTTACCAGTGTTCAGTACGGTAATAGAGAAACTGAGATAAACATCTAGAAACTTTAATGGCAATTTGACAGAATAATTTCATGTCTGTTAAATCTAGTAATAATAATAATAATAAAGGCTTGTACATTAGAAATCTTAAAAGTTTTTCCCACTTTTACAATAATTCATTTCTATTTTATTTTATAAAAGTATTAGTCTCCAATGGATAGGGAAACAGAAAACTAGTCCTTCATCAGAGTTAGTTTGAAAAAGCACTGTAATAGAGTGAGATACGGTGAAGGATTTTAAAGAATTTTAAGAAGCTAGATATTTATATAGCATATCCCTTCAGAGGTCTTTTTCCTTTTTATGTGCTTAAAAGAGTAACTTATGGAAAATTTCAGTAACTTGCAGAACAAATATCCCAAAACTTCTGAGAGATAATTGCTAGATTCTTAATATTGTTCCTCAATAAACACTGGGTTTTCTGAAGGCAAAAGTTTTGAAGGGTGCTGCCAGAGAATGTTGTTGTTAGGTGCTGTCGAGTCTGTTCCGACTAACAGCAACCCTATAGCACAGAGCAGAACTGCCCCATAGGGTTTCCAAGGAGGGGCTGGTGGATTTGAAATGCCAACCTTTTGGTTAGCAGGCGAGCTCAGAGCCACTACACCACCAAGGCTCCACCAGAGAATGGTCTTCATCTATTTAAACACTAACATCATTAAAAATGGAATTCTGAATAGGGTTAAAAATTGACAGCCTGGGTAGAGACAAACTTTTTTAAAAAATT